TAAGGTTTCCCCCTCTGTTCCCCAGCGGTCCGTCTTACCCTCGGTCTATCTTCTTAAGTTGCAGTTGCAAAGTACGTCTGCCAATGTGAAGCCCGGCTAGCTCAGTGGTTCGTCTTTCAGCTTCCGAAGTGGAAGGACGCATCGTCATGAGCTCCGTAAGAGCGGTTTCAACGGCTACTGATAGCCGTGGTATCACTGCTGAACGAAGGGACGAGGCTGCTTATCGTATCATCCTGCCTACGCTGCCGACAGGCGTATATGCCCTGAACACCGTTTTTCTTCATGCCGATGTCGGCGCACGGCCCTACCGTATCGAGGACTTCAAGGACGGACTGGAACATGCCGGAGTCCTAGGAGACATCGCAGCATGTGGTTCGTACCAAATGAACCACGTGTGGATGGTCACCCTCAAGTCACCCACGGCCAAACAAAGGTTGGTGGATGCTCAGGCTTTCGAGGTCAAGGGCAGGCGGTGCCTTGTTATCGATCCGGACAAGGCGGAAGTGCGGCTGAAGTTGCACTGGATACCTTTTTATATACCCGATGACAACGTGAAGAAAGCCCTGGAGCAGTATGGCAAGGTCGAAGAGATAGCAAGAGAGACCTGGCGTGTCAACGGGTTTGAAGGGGTGCAGTCGACCACGAGAGCGGTGAGGTTAACGCTAAAAGACGGCGTCACCACCGAACAGCTACCGCATCAAATCCGACTGTCTGGATGCACTGCGCTAGTCATCGCCCCAGGAAGGGCACCGCTCTGTTTGCGGTGCCGAAGGACCGGTCATATTCGTAAGGAGTGTCGTGTTCCCCGGTGCGAAGGCTGCCGACGCTACGGGCACACCAGACAGGAGTGCATGAAGACATACGCTGACGTGGTCAATGCTGCGATGGAGGACGAAAAGGCCGACCTTCTGATGGACCAGGCGGAGGCCGAAGAGGCTGCGGGTGGGACCCCCTGGAATCTCGAATCCCAGGGACGGGCCAACACCACCGCAGAGGCCCCTACCCCCCTCCCTGCGACGCCGTCCGCGGCAGAGCCGCCAACGACCGAGGTTGACACTGCTGGCCCATCAGGCGATGAGTCAGCTGGTCGGCTGCCGTCTCAGGAACCTGAGCGAGGGGACCAAGACACCCGCCCAACATCCGAGGCATCCAAAGAAGACGATCAGCATGACTCGGCCGACGCCATGGAAGCCCTGGAAGGCTCTTCCAAGAGACCTCTGGAGCAGCGGCCAACCCAGGACGACGGACAACTGACGACGCTTCAGGGGAGAATGCATGAACGGTGGCAGGCGGTGATGGCCAAGAGGGGCCGATACCGGGCACTGTCACGAACGCCGACGGACGATCAAGCGCCGAAGGAGGGACAGTGAACTGTATGCGGCTGCAACTCCTGTGTTGTGTCTATGAAGGCAAGCAAGTAAGCCGGTTGAGGATTTTCTGTTTTGTAGGTGTAATCTTTGTGGTGTATAATATTGGTTACCGGTAATAATGGGGTCGTATTGCGATGAAATCAAAATGGCTATCAGTTTCGCCACCTTGAACGTTCGGGGGTTGAACTCGACAAAGAAACAGTACCAATTGCAACGTCTGCTATGTGATGAGCAGCCGGATTTCCTCGCAATACAAGAGACAAAAATGGCTGAAGACAATGATATTGCTAGCGCTTTGAGGCCTTTTCTTTTTCGCTATGAAGCGTGTGTGAGTCGTGCCGTGGGATTCTCGGCTGGATGTTTTCTTTTTCTCAAAAAGTCCGTAAACCTTGAACATTTGCAGGTGGTGTCTGATGAGCAGGGTCGTTTCATTTCTTGTGACTTCACGTTGTCGGGCGTACAGTGGCGTGTGATTTGTGTATATGCTCCGAACAACGTACGACAAAGAGAGCAGTTTTTCCAATTCTTGCGCAATTACGTGGAATGCGATAAAGTTCTGGTTGTATTAGGCGATTTTAACTGTGTTTGCGACGAACGCGATAAATCCTCGCGGACGAGATATAGTGATAGCAGTGTAAGCATTTTGAAAGATATTATTGACACGTGTGGGCTCGAAGATGTAGGCGCCTTGCAAGCGGCAAGGAATGATTTGCGATATACACACTTTCAAGCTTCGTCATATTCTCGATTAGATCGCATCTATGTATCAGTCGACATTATACAGCAAGCACATGGCTACCGTGTGCAACCAGTTTTTTTCACTGATCACTGTCTTGTAACTATTAAAATTGGAAAGAAGGAAAAGACAAATTCAAAGTTCAATTGGAGGCTATGGAAAATGAACAGAAAATTGCTAAAAGATGAACAGTTTGTTGCCACCGTAACCAAGCTTCTAAGTAGTCTGCATGAAAAAGACAACGGTCGAAGTGAGGCATGGGAAGTCTTCAAGGAGGAGGTTAAATTGGCCGCGATTGAAAGATCAAGCAACATTCAGTTTCAACTTCGAGCCCGCGAAACGCAACTGCAAAAGGATCTGAAATACTTGTATAAAGTAGAGAGTGAAAACCCAGGTACTTTCTTTGAGGATATACAGTATATCAAGACGGAACTAAACAAGATCTATCAGGACAAGTATAGCGGGGCGGTTGTACGCTCCCGGTCAGAAAAGTTTCTTTTGGGGGAGCAGCCTACCAAGCGAGCTTTAGCTGACGAAAAAAGGTATGCTTTGACCAAAGAAATTTATGAAATAGACTATAAGGGCGCAACAAGCAGTGATAAAAATGTGATTGAGGGTGCTTTTGTTGAATATTATGAGCATCTTTTTGGGAAAAGGCCCACGCCTAAAGGCTTTTCCAAACTAAATGATTTTTTATCGCTAATGCCTCAACTAGACGAAGATGTAAAGATATGGCTTGAAGGAGATATAACTGTGGGGGAAGTCGAGCAAGCAATTGACTCCTTAGCAAGGCAGAAAACACCTGGTCCTGATGGCATTTGCGCCGAGTTCTACCAAATGTTCAAGAAAGATATCTGTCCTTATCTGCTTTCCATTTTTCATGAGTCATATGAAAAACAGCAACTGCCGCGGTCATTTGCTGATGCCCACACCATTTTAATTCCAAAGTCAGACGACTCGATTAAAAGACGCAGTGTCACAGGCTACAGACCGATCACCTTAACAAACATTGACTATAAAATTTTTGCGAAAGTCCTCACACGTAGGCTACAAAGAGTTATTAGTAGTCTCATCGGTGAGCATCAAAGTTGCGGCATTAAAGGGCGCTCCATACAAACAAACATACACGTCGCGAGAAGCATATTAGAAACTTCAGAGGAGAACGGTCAAGTGGCTATGATTCAGCTCGACTTTGAGAAAGCCTTTGATCGAGTACGACACGACGTCCTTGAAAGTATTTTATCGCATGTTAATGTCGGGCAGATTATTTTAAACGGGGTAATAATGGCATACAAAGGATGTGCTACTAGGCTTGTGGTCAATAATAATGTATCTAAAAGTATACCGGTGGTAACATCAGTGCGACAAGGGTGTCCCTTGTCACCGCTATTGTTCTGTTTATATTTAGAGCCTTACTGCCTAAAAGTGCTAGCCAGTAAAAATATTCAAGGTTACACTTTAAACACGGCGGAAATCAAAATTTCAGCGTATGCTGACGACGTTGCCGTTTTTTGCACGGACAAGAAAAGTGTAACCAACGCTGTAGAGCTTACAAAAATGTACTGTGAAGCGACCGGCGCTGCTGTAAACTGGGAAAAAAGCTGCGGGTTCTGGCATGGCAGTTGGGCCTCGAAGCCTCTTTCATTTGCAGGTTTTAGCTGGAGTAGTACACCATCTGTTTATTTAGGAGTCCCTTTGCAGTACTACAGGGTCAGCACACCATACTGGAATGAGGTGACGCAAGACTTAAAGGCAAAAACGGACTCCTGGGCCAATCGTGATCTTTCAATATTTGCACGAGCCACTGTTTGTAATGTCTTTCTGGCAGCGAAACTATGGTATTTGCTGCAAGTGCTTGCCTGCGGGAGAACTAACATCCAAAAATTTCACAGGGTTTTTGCGACTTTCGTCTGGAAATCGTGCTGGGAAAGAATGAGGAGAGACAACCTTTTTCGACGTGTCAAGTTTGGGGGTCTCGGGCTCACGCATCTTTTTGTGAGGCAACTTGTATCGCGCTTTATGTTTCTACGTGACCAGAATCACCCATTTCTCCGTGCCACAGTCCAGATGAAACTAGCAAACTCCCTCACCAGTGTCTTGGTCACAAGTGACTGCACAGAGCCCCGAAGTCTCTTTGGGTTTCTGAAGGAGGTCAAGGACGCCACATTGTTTCTACAAACACGTTTTTCAATGGACTACCTGGGCACTGTCACGAAAAAGAAGCTAGCCCGCGACCTGGTTGAGTTACTTTTCCCCGCACCTATGTATCGTTCTCTTTACAATCAGTGTCCTGGACAAGATGTTCTTTGCCGCGTAAAGAAAATGTGTATCCCGCCTGTCGTTAAGTCCTTTTTTTTTAAACTACATAGTGAAACATTGCCTGTTAAGCCTTGGCTCCAGGAAAAAGGGATTTTCGTACCATGGTCTGTCGATTGCTTGCTATGCAAAAAACCCGAGACTATTGAGCACGTCTTCATTGATTGTTGGGACGCGCTGTTTTTTTGGGATGTTCTCCAAAGAACATTGAAAAAAGACCTATGTATCACGAGAGAAACGATTCGATTTCTACCAGTCGATGCGTGCGAAGCGGTTCCTTATGATATGTTCATGGTGCTCGGTTTATTTAGCATCTGGAAAACTCGCATGGAATTCCGGCATGCAGACCCTCATATTAAACCTGTGTATAGGCACTTCATTGATGTTGTTACCCAAGTACAATCTGTGTACTGTCGGTCTGCAGACGCTGCGCCCGACTGGGCAAATCTGTTTGATGCAATCAAAAATATGAAAGAATTTTAGTGGCCCACAAGCGCCTGGGTGATGTGTGTTTATTTTGACATCGCATTCTGTGCTACACTTGTGTTCAATAAAGAAAAAAAAAAAAAAAAAAAAAAGCCCGGCTAGCTCAGTCGGTAGAGCACGAGACTCTTAATCTCGGGGTCGTGGGGTCGTGGGTTCGAGCCCCACGTTGGGCGAATTCTTTTTTTGTGTGTGTTGCGCCAAGAAATTTATTACCGTTCTTAGACGATGTTTAGACGATGGAAGAGTGAGGAGGCGGGCGACCTGGTTGATGTTACACGTTTTTGAAAAACCGGAGACGACGGACAAAAAACGGGTACAACACACAGCGATGTGTGATGTGCGCCAAGACAATTGTGATGACCTATGATAGGGCGAGGGTAAGACGGGCCTGGGAGGAGGAAGCAGACGGAACGCTAAAGAGAGAAGGAGGTTTCCTCCTCTCTTCTCTAGCGTTCCGTCTGCTTCCTCCTCCCCGGCCTATCTTACCTATAGGGAGCCTTCATGCAGTGTTGCCAGATTGGGCTATATATAGCCAAATTGGGCTACATTTTTTTTCTAGTTGGCGTCAAAATTTCGCGTTTGGCTATGTGGCTATTTTTGGGCTATACACCAACTCAACTCTCCTACGTCACGCCGCGGTGGTGGCGCGCCGGACGCACTTCCGGTCTAGGGCGGTGGGCAGAAGTCGCCGTGCCAGACATGCATTCCTGTGTTCCTTTGGAATAAACGAGACAAAAAACCTGCCTTCTCGTGAAAATGCTGCGATGGGGGCTTTACCAAGACAGTCTGGAAAGGTTTGAAGATCAGTTTTCATGTGTTTTTGCACCCTCCGTTCGTCCGAGAACGTGGATAGTAGCCGTGAAAAGGGCAAACCAGACGCTGTCGAACTACGATTGCGTGTGCGGGCCACAATTTGTGGTCGCCAGATGTATTTGCTTTGTTCTAACATGAACGAGAGAAAACCCTCAAGTTGTCCGGACCACCCACGGGTTCAGTACGTCTTCAAATTCACACGGCCGCCTGATCGTTCGAACTTTCGTCTGCTCTTTCAAAGTTGTCTGCTTTTTGTCGTCTGCTCGTTCAAACAAAAGCGGCCCGTAGACCAAACTTTGACCCGGTGATTGCAATAAGAAGTAATTGCAGGCCTCAAAGGCTTAAGTAGGCTCGGTGTAAACAGTAGATACAAGATCTTAATTACTGGTACCGGTGGCCATCACCTACTTGTTACGCTTGGTCTGTTCCCGCTTCCGATTTTCAGTATCGACGTCGATCATCGCCGCTACCTTTTACACTTTTGCAGCACGAGCGACGTCGCGACCGAAAATAGCTACAAGAATCTCTTCATGGTTTTGGCGTCCATTTCTACAGCGTTCATGCGAATGAATCGCCGCACGTCAAATTATTTACGGAAAGTTTAGCGGCGTAACGAGCCTTGATAATTTCGCTCAGGCGATTCAAGTGGTAAGACATTGCGATGAGGATGTAGAATCGACAACTCCAACGCGAAAAAGAGTATGCAGACTCACACAGACGCCTACAACGTGACATTCGAATGGTTTGTTGACGCGGGACGCGGTGCTTCTTGCCCGTACTCCATTGCGCGTGAGTTCGAACTGTCGTCTGCTCTTTCAAACTTGGCTGCTTTTTGTCGTCAGCTCGTTCAAACGACAGCGGCCCGTAAACCAAACGTTGACCCGGTAATTGCGATAAGAACTAAGTGCAGGCCTCAAAACAGATTTGAAGGTTGGTTGGGGTAAGTCGGCTAAGTGTAAACAGATCCAAGAAGTTGTTGATCATTGTTACCATGCAGTGGCCATCACCGACTTGTAATGCCTGATTCTACTTGCGGTTTTCAGTATAGATGTCCTCCATCTCAGCTACGGTCCACGCTTTTGCAGTCCGAGCGACGTCGCGACTGAAAATAGCGAGCAGAATCTCATCGTGGGAGTCAGGCTTTAGCGCCCATTCTGCGGCGTCCACGTGAAATGAATCGCCGCACGTCACATTATTCACGCAAAGTTTTGCCTCGATAGTTTTGCTGAAGCCGCTCAAGTAGTCAGACATCGTTAGGAGGACGTAGAATCAACAATTCCAACGCGAAAAAGAGCACGGGGACTCCCACCGACGCCGACAACAACGCAATTCAATGGTTTGTTTATGGGCAGGGTTGCCGTTGGGCAGACTTTGAAAGAAGCCATAACTCAAGCTAAAAGTAGCCAAAAGTAGCCATACCATTCAATCTTAGCGCCAAATTTGTAGCCAAATTGAACACAAGCAATATTATGAATACTGTTTTTATTAGTAAATTCGAACAAACAGGGATAGCATTTTGAATCAACACAGGAAACAGAATAAATACAGCAATAATTTTGGCACCTTTGCTTCGTCACAGGTACGTCGCAAATAAATAAATTATTAAATGTTCGGTGGGCCTGTACATAGTTTATCTAGAATAGATAGTGTACTTGCCAGAGTAATTTTGACACATTCTAGTTAACAACTCAGTTGGGACGTTAAATGTCGAAGTTGTTTTTCCCTGAAGCTGTAGACCAAACTTGACTCGTAGGATCGCCATGAGTACGTTCAGCTTCATTTCGTTGCGGATCTCTGTTTTTGTCAGGTTCATACAAGAGAACACGCGCTCAGCATCAGCATTAGAAACTGGAAGAGAAAAAATTTTCAATGCACCTCGCACCAGGTGTGAAAAAAGGCATTCGCCGCAAGTGTCCTTGTACAATGCCGCTGCATGCCAGAAACTCAAACATGATGTGCGATCAAATGCACCGATAACTGTTTGCAGTTGCCATATTTCCGACTCCAGCTCGATGGAGGAACCCCCAGATGGCGCGCAGAGTCAGCTGCTGTGCATGAAGTCACTGGACACTCATAGCGCTTTTAGCCGCGCGTACAAGGGAGGAAACACGGGCGCATGAGGCGCCACGACGGCGAAGCTTGGAAATAATGACTTGCCTATATGCTTGCTTGCTATTGTATCTGCTATTATTAAAAAAAAAGATGGCTAGTAAATGGAGTAAATGCGCCAAAAGAGGAGTTCCAAGTAGCCAGGAAGTAGCCAGGGAGCCACCGTGAAATTTTCATCGCCAGACGGGATCGTAAAGTAGCCCATTTGGCGCAAAGTAGCCACCAACGGCAACCCTGTTTATGGGCGACGGCGGGCCTCTTGCCCACCATCCACCGCGCATGCGCGGCGCCGGTGGCGTCCGCTAGGGGCGCTCCGGTTTGTTTGTAAACATGAGTTGGTGTATATCTAAGGGTGCGGCGAACTCTTGACGAACCTCAGGTTCGACGTCGAACTTTGAGGTTCGATTAGTTAATTTTCGTCACTTCTAGTCAGTTTCGAAAAAAAATTGTTTCTCTTTTGGCTAGTTAAGAGGAGAGAGAGGAAGGAGGATGGCTTCAAACTTCTACAAACGTCGGGGTTTTCACAATGCGCAGAGAAGCAATGCTAGCAGAGTTCAAGCAGTCTCCCCACAGCGCAGTGAAGCAAATCAAACAAACAAATTGCACTGTTTTTACAGGTCCAGTAGCGCGTCTTCTACCCGGACGTAGACTGAACTCTCCAAACGCAGCTTTGGTGCCCATTGCGAAAATTCTTAGTCATCGCCAACTTTAAGAAATGAATCACAATCAAAAATAGCGTGAACCGGAACGGGGGACGCTCATATTCTACACAAAGAAAAATAGACGGGTGGGTTATTGGTAAGAACCTTAGATATAAGGGGTGCTGGTTTGAAACTCCCAGTTCTGGCACTTCTGCTCCTGCATTCTGTTATTTTACTGTATGGTTATAACTCCCGGGCCTCATAATACAGCTGTTCATGTAAGTTTTCTATTTCTGAAATCCTACAAAGGATGGGTAATTAATTGTTTCAGAAATTTTCATCCTTCTGAAGCATTTTTTTTTTATATATCAGGGGACCAAATGCACACAAAAAGTGGCGCATCAGAGGGTTCAAAAAGAGAATTTAACATGTTGTTTTTTGCGCGTATGAAAAATTGTCAATAAAAGGCTTAAATATCGTTCTTTTTAGTCTTGGCTATTTTGGGCTATATTTATTTTATGGCTTTGGCTATATTTGGGCTATACCTCCCAGCCGTTTGGCGGTTTTTCGGTGGGACCATCTGGCAACACTGCCTTCATGTCCGCTGCACCCTAATCTTACCTACCTTCTTGAGTTGCCACAGAAAATTGTCCCCGAGAGCGGAACTTATAATAGTGTGATTTCTCCAGCAAGATTATTGTCGCTGTTCCCCCGCCGTGATCTTATCTTGGCTACACGCAGTGCTGTAGATGTTACCGAAAAAAAAAACTAATACGAAATACGTTACTCGTTACTTGTAAATAAAAGGAACGCGTTACCGACCTACGTCATCTCAAAATAAAAGGAACGCATTACCGTTACCGATAAAAAGTAACGCAGGTTACTTTTGCCTTACATTTTCTCATTATGAATTAACACCTTTTACTCTCTGACGTCACAGGTATGCATAAGCGCCATATTTCAAGACACATTATTTCCATCCAGAAACTGAACATAATTACCTTATCTTTTTTACGCTTCCACCTAAGTACTCAAGAAATAAAAACGCAAAAGACGCAACATTTTTAGGACTTGGCGCCTAGGAACACGGAAAAAGTGTAAGTGTAATTTATATATAGCTCTTGAGAAGAATATTTAGCGAGTAACATAACTACGTTACTCAAAATAGGTAACGCAAGTACGTTACCCGTTATCGTTTTGAAAATGTAACGAGTGCGTTACCACGTTACCGGAAAAAGTAACTCGTTACCGGTAACGGCGTTAATTGTAACGCGTCAGCGCCAACACTGGCTACACGTGGCGCGATGGTCGCTGAGATGAAGGTAGGCGCATGTCTTGAACTGCTGCTCGTCATTTCGAAGGACCTTCGGTTGTCGCGTAGAAACGTGAGCGCGCAAAACTGAGCATTGCCATCTGCATTGCCAAAGTAATCTCACGACGTGTTTTCTGTTTCAATCAACGGAGGGCGTCTCTTACTGCAACATAAGAACTGCACTGATAGCGAACAAGCCACAGTAAAAATCGTGAAGGCCACAGTGTCAGTGGATTATGAAAGAACGACGCCTCTTTTAGACAAAGTTGGAGCCGTTAGCGACTAATAAAATTGTTGT